ATCCTTTTTCTTATTTGACCATGAAGCTAAGAAAAAAAATGCATAGGTTAACAGAGGGTCATGGAAATTTCACAGTCAAGGGCCAAAAGGATAGTGATACAGAGTAGAAAACACATTAAGCCCAAAGTAAAATCAGTGCTAATAACTCTTAACTCAAGAGAATTATAAATTAAAAACTGGTACAAAGTGAAAAACGAAACAAGATCACAGAGGTCTAGATACTTAGACTGTCATCAGAGCAAGTGTTGATGAGGTGAATACCCCTGCTACTTAGACTTCACACCCTCCTACCCTTCCTGGGAAGACCCCTACTCTTCCTATTCTCCACTCCAAACTTATAAATACTCTTGTTTATCCTATTCTCCTCCATCATCCCTAAATGTACAAACTACCTCAAGAGAAAGAGAGTATAGGTAAGACCCTTGTGGGGTGAGCAGGGAAGCTGGGATAGGGAAAGAATAAGCTAGCGAGAGGAAAAGTGTGAGAGAGAGAGAGTACCAGGGCTAAAATGATAGAGGTACACGATACTGGTCTTGGCAAGGAGGACTAATAAGGCATACAGGCAGGTGAACACCGATATGCACCTGCGCAAAGTACCTGTGAGAAAAACCAGGGTGGGGTAAGGGGATATGGGAGGGAGGGGAGTTTTAAAAAGGCATGTCTTTTAAGGTCCACAATCACCTCAAAAAACCCTATCCCCCCCTTCTGAATTATTTGTTTCATAACCCCATGCCATCTTCTAATTTCTATGCTCTTATCTTGTAAAATAAATGCAGAAATTCTGAACTGCCTGGGCTGTGGCTCGTATGTTGGACTGTGTGCGGCCAGCAGTAACAGCCTAGTTGATCAGGCCCTGATCCATCGGGAGGCCTGGTCATGGACCGGGCCGTGGGGGCGTTGATCCCCGGAATAACCAGGTAACCACCCTTTTCATCATTGCCGATTATATCATAGAACCTAAAATATATTTAATTAAAATAGAGGTTGGTGGACGAGTTTGGAAGGGTATTTTAAAGAAGGAAATTAAAAGTGAATGTCATAAGGATAACAAAAAATTTAGGTAATGAAAGATGAAATATCAGATTTAAGGGAGGGAGTACGGAGGAAGTGAATGCATTCAGATAATTGGGAATGGATTTGTCAGTAGGTGGGTGTATGAAAATGTGGTGAATCACAGAACTTATGAGGGGAAAAAGGCGAGTGGTGCACTGAGGAGTCTGTGGAGACAAAGAACGTTATCCATGGAAGCAGAGGGAATGTATGGTGGTACCATATAAGAGCATTGGTGGTACCACTGCTCTTATATGGGTGAAAAAGATAAAAGATAAAGAGTATTTCTTTATAAAGGTTACAGTGGAGTGAGATAAACAAGTTAAGAAAGCATAGGGAATAAATTAATTTGTCAGTTAAAAACAGAGTTGGGAATTAGTAGATGGGGAGCTGGAGGTAATTGGAGCAGTTTGGGTGGGAGTACATTATTTGAGGATCTTTTAAATGTCAATGAGAAAGGGAGGCGGTAAATTTATGAACTGGCCAGGGAGATAAACATCTTTTAGGAATGTGAAGAACCAATCTAGTGTGCGGAGGTGCAGCGTAGGCATTATGAGAATGAAAGGGAGTAAAGCAGCTGGAACTGACGGGATCATGACAGAAATGTTAAAAGCAGGGGGATTTATAGTGTTGGAGTGGTTGGTATTTTTGTTTAATAAATGTATGAAAGAAGGAAAGGTACCTAGGGATTGGCAGAGAGCATGTATAGCTCCTTTACATAAAGGGAAGGGGGACAAAAGAGATTGTAAAAATTATATGTTAATAAGTTTACTGAGTATACCAGGAAAAGTGTATGGTAGGGTTATTACTGAAAGAATTAGAGGTAAGACAGAGAGTAGGATTGTGGATTAGCAAGAAGGCTTTAGAGTGGGTAGGGGATGTATAGATCAAGTGTTTACATTGAAGCATATATGTCAACAGAATTTAGGTAAAGATAGGGAAGTTTTCATTGCATTTATGGATTTAGAAAAGGCATATGATAGAGTGGATAGGGGAGCACTGTGGCAGATGCTGCAAGTATATGGAATAGGTAGTAAGTTACTAAACGCTGTAAAGAGTTTTTATGAGGATAGTGAGGCTAAGGTTAGGGTGTGTAGAAGAGAGGGAGATTACTTCCTGGTAAATGTAGGTCTTAGACAGGTATGTGTAATGTTACCATGGTTGTTTAATGTATTTACAGATGGGGTTGTAAAAGAAGTAAATGCTAGGGTATTGGGGAGAGGGGTGGGATTAAATTATGGAGAATCAAATACAAAATGGGAGCTGACACAGTTACTTTTTGCTGATGATACTGTGCTTATGGGAGATTCTAAAGAAAAGTTGCAAAGGTTAGTGGACGAGTTTGGGAGGGTGTGTAAAGGTAGAAAGTTGAAAGTGAACATAGATAACAGTAAGGTGATGAGGGTATCAAATGATTTAAATAAAGAAAAATTGAATATCACATTGGAGAGAGGGAGTATGGAAGAAGTGAATGTTTTTCAGATATTTGGGAGTTGACATGTCAGCAGATGTGTTTATGAAGGATGAGGTTAACCATAGAATTGATGAAGGAAAAAAGGTGAGTGGTGCATTGAGGTATATGTGGAGACAAAAAAGTTATCTATGGAGGCAAAGAAGGGAATGTATGAAAGTACATGTGTAGTAGTACCAACTCTCTTATATGGATGTGAAGCTTGGGTTGTAAATGCTGCAATGAGGAGTCAGTTGGAGGCAGTGGAGATGTCCTGTCTAAGGGGAATGTGTGGTGTAAATATCATGCAGAAAATTCAGAGTGTGGAAATTAGGTGTGGAGTTAATAAAAGTATTAGTCAGAGGGCTGAAGAGGGATAATTGAGGTGGTTTGGTCATAAGAAAGAATGGATCAAAGTAAAATGACATGGAGAGCGTATAAATCTATAGGGAAAGGAAGGCGGGGTAGGGGTTGTCCTCGAAAAGGTTTTAGGGAGGGGGGTAAAGGAGGTTTTGTGTGCAAGGGACTTGGACTTTCAGCAAGCGTGCGTGAGCATGTTAGACAGGAGTGAATGGAGACAAATGATTTTTGGGACCTGACGAGCTGTAGGAGTGTGAGCAGGGTAATATTTAGTGAAAGGATTCAGGGAAACCGGTTATTTTTATATAGCCGGACCTTTTTTTTTTATTATTATTATTAACACATTGGCTGATTCCCACCAAGGCAGTCTTGCCAGTGGGGTGCTTTACACTACAGTTATAAAATTGCAACATTAACACCCCAGACTTGAGTACTGGTAATGGGAAGTACAATGCCTGCACTTTAAAGGAGGGGTTTGGGAAATTGGCAGTTTGGAGAGAGAGATGATATATATCTTTGTATATGCTTCTAAACTGTTGTATCTGGGTGCCTCTGCAAAAACAGTGATTATGTATAAGTGAGGTGAAAGTGTTGAATAATAATAAAAGTATTTTCTTTTTGGGGATTTTCTTTCTTTTTGGGTCACCCTGCCTCGGTGGGAGATGGCCGACTTGTTGGAAAAAAAAGAAAAAAGTGTAATTACAGTTTTGGTTTGCTAAGTACAAAGAAAGCCACTATCATGCTGGGGCATTTCAGGCAGACTAATCCTAGTACATAATAACTACTTAAATCTAGACAAGGTAAGTGGTTAACTTGTATAAAAATTGTTATTTAACCTTAGTACTAATGCGAGGTAGACAAGGTGGAAGTTTATAAAAATAATAATCTTGAAGTTGCACATAAAAAAAACAGTATCACAAATAATGGTTCAAACAGTAATATTTCATGGATTGGCAGATGTTTAATAGACTTGAGGTCATATAATATAATATTTGGGAGAGTAGCTTCAACTGATTATAAGTTGTTTTGGTTAATATTGAGAGATGAGATGATTTTTAAGCAAAATCCTAAATTTATAAGTAGTCAGGGGATCGTTTATCGGTTCAGGTAGTGAATTTCAGCTCTTTGGGCCCTTTATGTGCACTGTATTTTTACAAAGTGTGAGACTGACATGAGGGATGCAGAAAGATGCCCCAGGCCTTGTGCTGCGACTGTGTTCTGTTGTAGATTTCAAGGAGAAGCATGGGTGGTGAATGTTGCAACAAAGAGAAGGCTAGTGGCACTGAGATGTCATATCTGAGGGCAATGTGCAATGTGAATATAATGCAGTTAGAAAATAAATTTTTTAGCCTTTTTGATAAAGCTAAAGTATGAATATTAATAAATATTTGTTATACATAGTTTTATTTTTGAATTCTTCCAACATGTAGCTAACTTCAGCTGTGATTTCATTGATTAAAAAATAAAGAAAAATTAAATTTACATAGGACCAAAAAAGCAAGGTCGACTCGTCTAAACTCACTGGATGATGGAGAGTGCAAAAGATCTAAGAATCCTATTGAATCCAAATTTCTGAATCTGATAATTACCTGGTTAAATATTTTCACCAAATTTCTGAATCTGATAATTACCTGGTTAAATATTGTTTCATATTGCTGCAGTGTTGCTGGCAGTGATTTGTAGGGAACAGAAGTGAAGGAGGAGACAATTGGCAGTCCACTGTTTTCATTGTCCAAATCTCTAGTAAAAGATTTTCTTTTTTGATGATAGCAAATATTACTGAGGGGAGCTTCTATCATCAGAATGCTTTTCACAGCATATTAGATTGATCTGAATTCTACTTACATAGATTTTGGAAAAATTACATTAATGTAATTTAAATTAATAGTTTTCATCTTACAGATGACAGCAGTGTACCATTTTACCCAGTAAGTGGATAAACATTGATACTGCGGATTCACTGATATGTATCCAGAGGACAGATTTTTCTATTCACATTCCTTCTACACAGTTCATTCCTCCTGTTACTATTAACGAAGTGGTTCTAACTAGTTGAGAAAATTCCTTTTACACTGCTGGGATGTTATAATAAAAATAAAAAAAAAATATTAAATTTCAGTAGGTACTAATTCCGAAAGGAAAATTTTTTTATAGGGTAAGCAGTGCTTACCTTGGCTGAGTACATGCCACTGGGAAGGTACTAAACCCAAAAGGGTCATACAGTCCCAAAGGACTGAAAGTGTGGGCAATCAGGTTTGATCCAAGGGGAAAGTAGCTCTAGTTTCTTGACTCAAGAGCCCTTCACCAGCATGAAAAAACCCTCCTTGTAGGGTACAATCAACAGTTATTTAAAAATATCGTGTAGTGAAATATGCTATGTAAAATGAGCACATTCTTGGTCTCGACTTCACTGAATATGACAAGTTTTATTATACCTTTAAAACAGTGTGATACATTAATGTTCATTCTCCATGGAGAAGTGAAGATGAATCCTTTCTCCAAGTGTGCTCTAAGAGGTGACTAAAATGTTGGGAGCACGGGGCTAGTAACCCTCTCCTGTATAAATTACTAAAAGTAAAAGAAAAACTTTACATTTCTTCTTTTCTGGGTCACTTTGTCTTGGTGGGAGCGAGAGCTGGTGTGTGAAAAAAAAAATTAATGTTCATGTGACAGACTGGAAAAATGAGCAATTCTGCCAGAGTGCAAAATGTTAAATAAATTTCCATTTTATCACTCAAATTTATATTGACAACTAATTACAACTTTAATTCAATATACACATTACACAGTAACATTAAATGTCTCTCATTATATACAGTATCAAAATTTAACCCATTTTTGTGCATGAATCCCAAGACTTCGAACATCATCAGTTAAATCTGTTCCTATTTGGCACCTGAAAATAAAGAATTTTTAAAGTTAATGCCATGTCATAAAAAAAGTTGTATAATATGCCTCAAGAGCAATATTTACATCATGTAACAGTGCTTATCTTTAACTGAATTCTTAATATTTGTTTGCAGGTCAATATAAGTAATTCATTTATAATGTAAATCACGTACAAGAGCAACACTAACAAATTTATGGTATAAGTAATAAGTTTATGGTATGTTACAAATAAACTGAGCTAATGAGAGACATGACAAGAAGCCACCAACACAACTGTGATACAGCCAGGAAGGTGAAGCTATGCTTTCATATACTTTTTCTATGTTAATTGTTTATAAAACAATCATAATTTGCACTTGTGTGGTGGGTTCATTTGTTTGTACATGTTAGTCAAGAAATGTTATTTAAGCTGAATTTCCAAAGTGATTTGATTTCTAAACTGTTTTTGTATCAGATGCATTTTTTTATTTATTTGTTTTATTAACACATCGGCCGTTTCCCACCAAGGCAGGGTGGCCCGAAAAAGAAAAACTTTATCATCACTCACTCCATCACTGCCTTGCCAGAGGCATGCTTACACTACAGTTATAAAGCTACAACATTAACAGCAAAGAGCAACTGTGACAACTCCCACTTTGTGTTAGCTTCTTTATCTTTTAACCCCACACCTCTTGCCAACAGCTGAGCATTCACTTCTCTTACAACTCCATCTATAAATATACTGAACAACCATGGTGACATCACACATCCCTGTCTAAGACCTACTTTTACTGGGAAATAATCTCCCTCTTGCCTACATACTCTAACATGAGCCTCACTATTCTCATAAAAACTTTTCACTGCTTTCAATAACCTACCTCCTATTCCATACATTTGCAACATCTGCCACATTACCCCCTATCATACGCCTTTTTCAAATCCATAAATGCCACAAATACCTCTTTACCTTTATCTAAATACTGTTCACCTATATGTTTCACTGTAAACACCTGGTCTACACACCCCTACCCTTCCTAAAGCCTCCATGTTCATCTGCTATCCTGCTCTCCATCTTGCTCTTAATTCTTTCAATAATAACTCGATCATATGTTTTACCAGGTATACTCAACAGATTTATTCCCCTATAATTTTTACACTCTCTTTTGTCCCCTTTGCCTTTATACAAAGGAACTAAGCGTGCTCTCTGCCAATCCCTAGGAACCTCACCCTCTTCCATACATTTATTAAATAAAAACACTAACCACTCCAAAACTACATCCCAACCTGCCTTACACATTTCTATCTTTATCCCAACAATCCCAGCTGCCTTACCCCCTTTCATTCTACCCAGTGCCTCATGAACTTTCCCCACACTCACAACTGTAAGATGTAATTCCTCCTTGCCTTATACACGAAATCACAGCTTTCCTATCTTCAACAACATTTAACAATTCCTCAAAATATTCCCTCCATCTTCCTGATACCTCTAACTCTCCATTTAATAACTCTCCTCTCCTATTTTTAACTGTCAAATCCATTCATTCCCTAGGCTTCCTCAATTTATTAATCTCACTCCAAAACTTTTTCTTATTTTCAACAAAATTTGTTGATAACACCTCACCCACCTTCTCATTTGCTCTCTTTTTACATTGCTTCACCACTCTCTTAACCTCTCTTTTTCTCTCCAGATACTCCTCCCTCCTTGCATCACTTCTACTTTGTAAAAACCTCTCATATGCTAACTTTTTCTCTCTTACTACTCTATTTACATCATCATTCCACCAATAGCTCTTCTTCCCTCCCACACCCACTTTCCTATAACCACAAACTTCTGCTGAACACTAACACTATATTCTTAAACTTACCCCATACATCTTCTACCCCATTGCCTATACTCTCACTAGCCCATCTGTCCTCCAACATTTATGCTTGCAATTTAATTATCATAATCAAATTAAATGCTAATCCCTTTTGGGCTTAGGGTTTAATCTGATTATAAAAATTATCAAAATAATGTAATCTGGTAATAAATTTTTTAAATAAAGTTGATTTCTAAACAGGAAGTCCTTGACATAGTACCTCAGAACATCTGGGAGGGAATGAAAACTTTATATATACTGACTGGACAGTATTAACTGTGAAAGAAAAATACTTGACCAACTTTCTTACTTTGATTGATAAACAACAGCTTCTATGTCTTCCTTTTTATAAAGAACACCAGTTTTGGCTTTCAAACGTTCCATGCCATTCCATGCAATCATAATACCATTATCCGTGCAAAGGTTTGGTGGTGGACAGTGGAACTGGTATCCAGTTGTATCACATAATTTTTGTAGTGCTCTACGTATGTAATGATTACAGGCAACACCTCCTGACACTACCTATGAAAAAATATACACAGAACAAATAAGCTTTAATTATTATTTAGACAATATTTCATATTTATATTTTATCAGACCTTAAATAAAATAGTAAAATGTTACTATTATTAAAATTACACTAACCTATCTAATTTGACATGATATTTTTTAATGAAAAAATATTTTATAATACTGTACTAAAATTTGTTCGTTACTGTATATCCATACATAATTTTCAGAAAGCATAAAGACACCGGTACAGTGACAGCAAAATTATTAAAAATGAATTTTTATTTAACTTACGGTACTTTAATGTATTATTACTTAAGATATTTTTCTACTGAAATCATAAATTAACCAAAATCTAAAACAAAAGTTGTTATGTAGACTTAGTTCTGTATTAGGATGCCATTAAACTCAGTATAAACATAAGACATACACAAAATTGTCAGCTGAAAATACATGCAATGCCATACCAGTATTTTATTTGTTTTTGGAAGCAGGTCTCGAACGTCAATGTATACCATTGCTTTCTGAGTCTGTCTTACCAGATGCTTAGTTACAGCATACTGGAATGATGCACAAACATCATTAATAGGAGGAATGATGTTGCCACCTTCAACCTCTGTGTATTGATTAAAAAAAAGAAAATATATGATGGCAGATGAACAGTAATGCTGAATAAAATGTCTAAACTTCAATAATCACTGAAGACTTGACAGAATTTGATATGAAAATAACTTCTGTTTACTGCAAGACACCAATAAGTCAGAGGGCAAAACAGGATAATAATCTAATAAAAATATCTTTGGATTAATGAAATATTATCACATTTATGAGCAAGTATTATAGCTGTATGGGTCATACAGCTTTAGTACTTGCTGCCATACAGGGTCATATAGTGTCTGGGAAATGGGAGACAATTGGGTTTGATCCGAAGAAGAGAAAAGCAGCTCTAGTACCCAGAATCAAGGCACCTTCCTAAAAGGGTTTGGGTTACTGGTAATGAAAATATTGTACTCAATCATCACAGGTGCTCTAAATCTAAACCAGACTATCTATTCCAGTCTTAAGAACAAGGTTTTATTTAAAATGTTTTGTTCAGAACAGAGTGACAAGTTGCCTAAAATAAAAGGCTTGTTTTGCTTTATGTCTTTATGCCTCTTGTCGGCTTGATGACTCGGTAAAATTCATGCTTCTTAAAATTTTGATGCTGTGTAACTTTAAATTATAATTACAGCAGGGCCATGACTTACAATGTTCTGAATTATGATGTTTGGAACTTATGATATTGGCACTTTGGAATCAATTACTTATGAATCAATGACTTGCACCTTCATCTATGGGGCTACTAAATTCACTGATTTTCTTAAGTATGAATAATAGGGGTAGGGGTCATCATCGAAGAGGTTGGAAGGAGGAGGTGAAGGAGGAGGTAAAGGAGGTTTTGTGGGCGAGGGGCTTGGACTTCCAGCAAGTGTGCGTGAGCGTGTTAGATAGGAGTGAATGGAGATGAATGGTTTTTGGGACCTGACGAGCTGTTGGAGTGTGAGCAGGGTAATATTTAGTGAAGGGATTCAGGGAAACTGGTTATTTTTATATAGCTGGGCTTGAGTACTGGAAATGGGAAGTACAGTGCCTGCACTTTAAAGGATGGGTTTGGGATATTGGCAGTTTGGAGGGATATATTATATATCTTTATATATGCTTCTAAACATAGGTAGTAGGTTGGTAGACAGCAACCACCCAGGGAGGTACTACCGTCCTGCCAAATGAGTGTAAAACGAAAGCCTGTAATTGTTTTACGTGATGGTAGGATTGCTGGTGTCCTTTTTTTCCGTTTCATAAACATGCAAGATTTCAGGTACGTCTTGCTACTTCTACTTACACTTAGGTCACACTACACATACATGTACAAGCATATATATATATACATACCCATCTGGGTTTTCTTCTATTTTCTTTCTAGTTCTTGTTCTTGTCTATTTCCTCTTATCTCCATGGGGAAGTGGAACAGAATTCTTCCTCCGTAAGCCATGCGTGTTGTAAGAGGCGACTAGAATGCTGGGAGCAAGAGGCTAGTAAACCCTTCTTCTGTATAAATTACTAAATTTTAAAAGAGAAACTTTCATTTTTCTTTTTTGGGCCACCCCGCCTCGGTGGGATATGGCCGGTTTGTTGAAAGAAAGAAAGAAAGAAGAAGTAATGAATGTACTGTGAATGTATTTTACTTTGTATGTTTTTAATGCCTAGTTCTATTACTAACTTAATATAATTTAGTGTAAACTTGTTGTCTGGCATTTATATGCATTTATAAATGGAAAAAAATGGCGTTCTGCCTTCCAGCGATGTCTGCTTTCCGGCGACAGCCTGGAACCTAACCCGCCGTATAAGTGGGGCCCTACTGTATTGACATTTTACTGTTTTTTTAGGCCTAATTATAATGTTAACTTAATATATGATAGTGTAAACATGTTATCAGGTACAGTGGACCCTCGACTAACGCTATTAATCCGTTCCTGAGAGCTCATCGTTAGTCAAAATTATCGTTAGTCAAGTTAATTTTCCCCATAAGAAATAATGGAAATCAAATTAATCCGTGTAGGACACCCCAAAGTATGAAAAAAAAATTGTTTTTACCACATGAAATATTAATTTTAATACACACAAACTGAAGAAGACATGCACAGTTACATGACACTTACCTTTATTGAAGATCTGGTGATGATTGTTGGGATGGGAGGAGGGGAGAGTGTTGATGGTCTTAGTGTTTAGAAGGGGAATCCCCTTCCATTAGGACTTGAGGTGGCAAGTCCTTTTCCGGGGTTACTTCCCTTCCCTTTAAATCTCTCAAACCAACCTTTGCTGGCCTTAAATTCACTCACATCACCACTAGTTGCTGTCATTTTTTTCATTAAATCGTCATAAAACTTCCTAGCCTTTTCACATATGATCGCTTGAGAGATGCTATCTCCTGCTATCTGTTTTTCGTTTATCCACACCAATAACAGTCTCTCAACAACTTCGAGTACTTGCGATCTCAGTTTCGAAAACATAGTTGCACCTTTGGCAAGAACAGCTTCCTTGATTGCCGTTTTCTTGGCCACAATAGTAGCGATGGTTGATTGGGGTTTTGTGTACAACCTGGCCAGCTCGGAGACACGCACTCCACTTTCATACTTAGCAATGATCTCTTTCTTCATATCCATAGTAATTCTCACCCTTTTTGCTGTAGGGTTGGCACTAGAAGATTTCTTGGGGCCCATGGTGACTTATTTTGCAGGTGCAATCACTAAAAAGGCTGTGATAACATGAAATGTTCCGATTGTATGCTTGGAAGCGACCGCAGTGGCTGGCTGGCTTGTAAACACTGTCCAGAAGTGGACGCGTCTGACGGAACAAATAGTGTTGGTCGAGTTTTTTAGCGCTAGTCGAGGCAAAAATTTTGCGTTAAAATGTATCGCTAGTCGGATTTATCGTTAATCGATGCCATCGTTGGTCGAGGGTCCACTGTATTTATGTATATCTAAAAGTGAAGAAAAGGTTGATTTGCTTTACGGAGGTAGCCTGGAACCTAACCCACTCTATAAACGGGGCCCTCCTATTAATCTCTCATGTGACTATCTAGAGTTCACTAAATATGCATGATGCTATTACTGAAGATATATGACCAAGCTTCCTCCAAACACTATAATATTTCCATAATAATTATTTCTGCCATTAATTTTGTATTTTTAAATAGGTAACTGTAATGGTAAATTAATTATGTTGTGGAATAAAACTAACAGCAAAGCACTAAGCACTCAACTGTTGTCCCAAGAGTTCTCATACTTTACCATATTTCTCTTCCAGTCTTGAAATAATTTTGAACAAGGAGTTTTTGAGGCCTGAAAAACTGAAGGAGCAGTCCCTGTATTTCCACATTGGGGTTGGAAATTCATAGGCACGTGGGTTACCAGTGGCAGCAAGGTATTCTATAGCTTGCCCACCAGACATTGAGGAAAATTCACGAATATTTCGGAGTTTCAGCCTTCTTGCACCCTAGAATTAATTACTGCAAATATTAGCTATAAAAATAAAAATTAACAAAAGTTACATAAGATGATATTGAATTCTGATAACAAAAGCCTGCAGGAATGAATTTTCAGTCATTCTAATACAGTGGACCCCCGCTTTACGATGACCTCCCAATGTGACCAATTATGTAAGTGCGTTTGTACGTGTATGTTTGGGGGTCTGAAATGGACTAATCTAATTCACAATATTCCTTATGGGAACAAATTCGTTCAGTACTGGCGCCTGAACATACTTCTGGAATGAAATAATATCGTAAACCGGGGGTCCACTGTATAACTATCTTATGAATTTTAGATAATTTGCTACTGGTACTGCATACTATTCACCATAATTTATGTAAAAAAAATTTAAAGTGCTTTTATCCTGCATATTTCTAATATTCTTACTGCAATAATAATTCAAGAAATTTGGCTTAATATTACTGTAGCAAAACCATCACGTACAATGATTTACAATTTTATTAGTGGTACACAGAGATTTTAACATTTGAAGACTTTTTTTTTTTTAATATGTCGGCTGTTTCCCACTGAGGCAGGGTGACCCAAAAAAGAAAGAAAGACTTTCATCATCATTCAACACTTTCATCATCATTCATACATAATCACTGTCTTTGTAGAGGCACTCAGTTACCACAGCTTAGACATCCCTCCAAACTGCCAATATCCCAAACCCCTCCTTTAAAGTGCAGGCATTGTACGTACTTCCCATTTCCAGGACTCAAGTCTGGCTAACCAGTTTCCCTGAATCCCCTCACAAAACATTACCTTGCTCACACTCCAACAGCTCGTCAAGTTCCAAAAACCATTCGTCTCCATTCACTCCTATCTAACATGCTCACGCACACTTGCTGGAAGTCCAAGCCTCCTGCTCACAAAACCTCCTTTACTCCCTCCCTCCAACCCTTTCGGGGACGACCCCTAACCTGCCTTCCTTCCCCTACTGAGCTGAGCCCTGAAAATGGGAAGTACAATGCCTGCACTTTAAAGGAGGAGTTTGGGATATTGGCAGTTTGGAGGGATATGTTGTGTATCTTTATACGTACACCTACCATCCGACTTACGACCGAGTTCGGTTCCGAGAAACCGGTCGTAAGTCGAAATGGTCGTAAGTCGAACTTTACTACTGAATTTCAACAAAACATTTTTGTAATGACTTTATTTTATTGTTTTATTTTGGTATTTCATGCTTTACTTTACTTTTTATGCTGTTAGTACTGTATTTTATACTGTAAGGTTTAGGACAAACACTGTGTACAACACAAATAGTTGTTTATTTCCCAGAAATTTGGCATAAAAAACGACGGTCGTAAGTCGAGCAGGTCGTAAGTTGGATAGTAGGTGTATATGCTTCTAAACTGTTGTATTCTTAGCACCTCTGCCAAAATAGTGATTATGTGTGAGCGAGGTGAAAGTGTTGAATGATGATGAAAGTATTTTCTTTTTGGAGATTTTCTTTCTTTTTGGGTCACCCTGCTTCGGTGGGAGACGGCCGACCTGTTAAAAAAAAAAAAAAAAAAATAGTATGCAAGACTGTTTCAGTATTTTGTCTTTGCTCTAAATTAGACTGCTACTAAGACTGCATTATAGCACAAATACAAGGCTCCATAGGTTTAATACCTTATCTAAGGCTTCTCCTGGTGCATCATCGATTGTTTGACCAATAATAGACCAATGGTCAAGAGAATTCGCAATCACCAGCAAGCAATGACCTCCTGACAACAGGAGTACCAAAAATGGAAACTCCACCTGGAATATAAAAATAAATTATACATGATTAGTATAAAAATTAGCTGCCTGCTCTATGTGAAGTGTATACAAAGAGGAAGGTGGCAATGGAAATTTGGAAGTAAAAAATATAGTGGAGCCTCTATTATATCATTTAATCATTCACAGACCTCAAGTATGTGTATCAAAGGATACACTTGATTATTTGTGATTATTTCCAGTAGGTGTGTGTGTAACTTGAGGATTTATTTCCAACACAATGTTAATAATCACAACACTGTGTAGAAGTGCAAAAAACAGTCCAAAACTAGACCACCTTAAAAGACTCATGAGCAAACACTAGGACATATTTATTAGAAAATACTGTCAAGTATCAGATATGCCAGCAATCTCTACACGTTTTATTTTCCACCTCTTTGCTCCAAGGTGTCAGTGATTACAATCTACTGACCACGGTTTCCAGGCATTTTTGACATTTAAGGTTGTGTTCAGAGATAGAGAGTTGTGCCTCTCTTGAGCTCATCATATGTGCTTAGGCATTTCTGGTGAGGACACAGTCACTGTTAAAGTTATTCCTGTTGCAGGAATAACTTAAACAATGACTGTGACTTCTGTCTGTCTCTCCTACATATTTATTTATTGGAACATCCTTGATGGAGGATGCAGCCACAGTGAGTACACTGATGTTGCTTCTAGCAAGTACTGGACTTGGTGGGTGTTCCTGGCAACATCCATGCATGGCAGCACTAAGAACTGCTTAGTGGAAAGTTCTGTGGGGATTTATTGAGGATAGCTTGAGCCTTAATCCTACAGTCCCAGATGAAGAAAAGGGGGGGGGAATTAAGATGCATGGAAGCTTGTGATATGAAGGTACACTCTTTTTTCAAGAAAACAAAGGCTGGCAGTGCAGATAGCCATTAAAAAAAAAACAGAACACCCCTTATGATGCAAGCCTCATGGTGAGAACAGAAGTATATGAGATCATCCTTGCTGGTGGGTCTCGTATACACTTTAAAGAAAAGGTTGTTGATGTCTGGAGAGTCTGCCCTTTCATTCAAGTCCCAATGCAAACTTTATAGATGGCCAAACAATAGTGTTTATGTTGGGGTGGACCCGGATTAAAATGTCCCAGTCCCCAGGTCATCCATGAAAAAGCTAGCAGCGCAGCATTGAAGTGGCTGCTCTTTGCTATCTCAAAGCTTTGTTTGTAGTAGCTATCTTGATACTTGAAGTTAAAGATGAGACAGAGAACCACTAAACTGATGAAGCCCTGGAGAGGAATTAGGAGGTTATGGTTATCAGTGAGCCTCTGTGCCATAATATTTAGGGGAACATTAATGGGGACATTGGTCGAAAGAAGAGCGACATCTTACGAAAACATGATCTTGTGTTTAACATTCAGGTTAGAAATGTGAAAAATATCTCCTGAATATTTGAGGAGTGGATGACTAGTGGTGCCTAGTAGAGCAGGGTAGTGTAGGGTACTCCTCACATTAGATTTGCAACTCATACTAGATTTACAACTTTCCTGCTAACATCTTGTCCATCTTATGGTCATAACCTACTTTCACTAATGTGCCCCTCCACCCGTGACAATGTCCTCAACTGGTGAACCTCATCACTTCTTCCACTGGCTCCAGCATAAATGTCTCCATCCCCATGGCTCTGTAACAGACCAAAAAGTCTGCCAAGCAGGTGAAATGTCTTACCATTAGACACCTAGGTGTTATAAATGTGTCTTTTTCATCAAGCTGTTGGTATTGTATATTACTGATCAAACAAAATTATGTATATATTTATATGAACTCCATGGGGAAGTGGAACAGAATTCTTCCTCCGTAAGCCATGCGTGTTGTAAGAGGCGACTAAAATGCTGGGAGCAAGGGGCTAGTAACCCCTTCTCCTGTATATTACTAAATGTAAAAGGAGAAACTTTCGTTTTTCCTTTTGGGCCACCCCGCCTCGGTGGGATATGGCCGGTGTGTTGAAAGAAGAAAGATTTATATTATCTTTCAAGTAAATGTAATAGGTTTACTCAGGATCATAATTTTCCAATTGTTGAGGATGCTGAGGTCTGTTAGTTTACTGATTTATTAACTGCAGCTGCATATTGCCAAAAGCTTACATGTGCAGAGAAGTGAGATTCCACTGTACAAAGTTTGATAACAGGGGGTCAAAAATAATGTGTGAATGATTTCACTTGAGAAAACAATTCCCACAGTTCAAAAGAAGAGCTGATATGATTATGCAGCAAACATGGAAATCTGTACAAGTGCATAGAAAATGTACAAAATAAAAACATGAAGGTTAAGCATGGACTGCATGCACAAAATATATTCATATGATTATGTAGGTGACACTATGTAGGTGACTATAATCTTTCAACAAACCAGACATATCCCACCGAAGCAGGGTGGCCCGAAAAGAAAAACAAAATTTGTTCTTGTCAACTTTAGTAATGTATACAGGATAAGGGGTTACTAGCTCCTTGCTCCTGGCACTTTAGTCGCCTCTTATGACACGTATGGCTTACGGTGGAAGAATTCTGTTCCACTTCCCCATGGAGCAAAACCCTTACTATTTTTGTAAAATAAATCTAGCTGGGCAATGAGATGCAAGCTAGAATAAACTGGCAGTGCTAATTTTCTCTGGCACTGATAACACAGTGAAAAACAATGACAGTAAGTGCTAAATGTTATTTACACTGTGTTATGTATCTGTACTTAAACTAACAAGAAATAAAACAAAAAGATCTTCTTAAATGGAAATCTTACCAATAATTTTTAAGTATTCAATATACTGTAAACAGGTAAAATATAAAATACAGTACTGAAAAACAATGAAATAATTTTTTCTTTCTGTAATGAAACATCAACAGTGACACAAAATACAATGACCAACCTTATGTGCCATGCGAATAGTAAGAGCATGAGCTTCCATGTGGTGTATGGGAATGAAAGGTTTCCCAGCACTGAGAGCAAGAATCTTGCCATAATGTGTGCCTACAGACAGGGACAGGGCCAGACCTACAAGGAAACTTGATATAAACATTTCATGATTATTAAGCAAAATTTCTAGAAACAAATCTGAACCAAATCAATGAAGGCTATCCCAATAGATCATATCTTGCAATTCATTTCTAGGTTAGTGCTGGACCTAGTCATTCACAAAAGAATATTATCTCCAATGCCACCGGAGAAATGCCACACAGCCGAACTCCAGAATTTACATGCCTCATAATCTGCATTATTAGACTATACGTACTGTATAACATTTTTACTCAAGGCCATTTTGTTAACAGCATTGAGTGTTCACATTTTTTCCTAATGACCATTGTCTTTTTTGGCATGGAACACAACTTCTAAATTGTTGCCAATTCTTCTAGATGTCAATATTAAATGAATCAGAGCAATATTTAACCCTTTGAGGGTCGAGAGGTCCTCTCCCAAACTTATTCTCAGGGTCGAAAAATTTCCCCCCCCCAAAAAAAAAAAAAATTTCATATGAAATGATAGGGAATATTTTTCCAATCATAATGACACCAAAAGTATGAAATCTGATGGAAAACTTACGGAAATTATGCTCTCGCGAAGTTTGTGGTCTCAAAGTGAGCGATTTCGCCCACTTTGAGCCCTATTTTTGGCCAATTCCAATGTTGCAGTTGACTAAAATCATAGCTATTTCCTTAGACCTCCATTTGTTCTATTGCCTGAGTACAAGAATCTGCCCATTTACCCATTTACTGATTTCAACTACCCAATAAAGTGGTCAGAAATTGGAAATTTGGGCAATTTCACACAAATTTCAAAAGACGCCAATTTCGAAATAGGGTCCAGAATAAACAAGACAGACATTCATGGCACTAAAATCACATTTTATCTGTTCATTAGTCACGTCTCTAGGCCCCTCTTACATTACTTTTGCTTTGAATTTTGAATTTTTATTCACACAGAAAATAGGTTTTCTGCTATGTATACTACTACATCATTGTAAAACGGTATAAATTATATCAGTGCACTTGTGAAAGAATATTAGGCTCACCAGTTGACGTGTATTGGATGTGTGGCTTGAACTGTTTACTCTTGAACATTGGCAAAAATCGATCATTTCCGCTACTTTGAGCTCAATTTCAAGGTACTTGTCATCATGAAACCAATCAAAATCATCTCTAATTCTGTAATATATCTTCCATTCTATCAAACGAGACCAAGGAAATGAGAATATAACCATAAATACCATATGAAAATACACTAGAAAGTTGCTGTTTTAAACCAAAAACATAGTCGAAGTTTTTTCTTGTCATTATGCAGAGCATGCTTCAGGATTTTTTTTTATACTGCACACACTGACCACACAGACCCATTCTTTCATATGTAGGCCTGCCAGCTTTCTTCCACTAGATTTGAAGGGGCTAGAATTTAGGCGTACAAGTACATGACCGACCGTGGCTGCAATGATGTACTTGTACGTGACTGACCCTCAAAGGGTTAAAAAAGATTTAACAAAAAAAAAAAAACAACTAATTTAGACATGTAAAATCTTCTACCATATTATCAGCAACTTTTAGGATTTCTATCACCTTCAGGAACCTACCTAACTCACATGAATTCAAGAGTTCAACAATACAGTGTAATTCTCTGGAACTGAAGTTCATGTTCTGACTTTATAAATGCTGTCCATTTACTGTAGTACAGTACACAACCATACTCTACAAATTACACATTATTTAAATATTGTCCCAGAACAGAAATTTCAACTTGCAGTAACTTAAAAAACAAAACAGCTGCAGTAATACCTGGCTTGACAGTAGTGGCAATTGCGTCTATGTCTGTCAATACTAGTCCGGCTTTCTCCAAAGCATCATTGACAACTCCTTTAATATTCTGCTGATGCATTACTTGTGCTACAGGTGGGATAATACCTCCATGTCTATGAAATATAAAGAAAAATCAGTCTACACACATCAACTTTTGGACCAGGGAGCTGAAAACATTTTTAATTTTAACTGAAAAATTATTATTTTTATGAAATACATACAGTAGTAACCATTTTCTTGTACCATAATACGTGACTGAAAAAAAAAAAATAGCGTTTTACCTCATTAAATACTTTACAGACAAAAGGAAAATTACAGGCATAGCAATAGAAGTTAATTTACAGCATACCAAATTTTTTTTTGTCAGATACTAAACAATACGGACAGACCCTACTTATACAGCAGGTTAGGTTCCGGGCTACTGCTGTAAAGTGAAAATTGCTGTCAAGAGAAACATAGCCTTTTTTCACTTTTAAATGCATATAAAAACCTGATAACATGTTTACACTATCAAATATTAAGTGAGCAATAGAGTAAATATATTTATTGTAGGAAGTCTGAATAAATGAGGAATGGGTATAATTGAAAACCGCTGCATTAATGATATACATACTGTAAAGCAAAGTGCTGTCAAGTGGGGCTCACCTGGAATATGAAAACTACTAAATAACAACCACCATTTATTTTTCACACAGTGCTCAAAGGTCAAATCTAAATCAATCAAATGAACAAATATGGATACTGAAATTATGCATATAATGTACTGCATAAATATTTTTTAAAGTTTTCAGGGCTACAACCTATTTAGGTTTTATAGCTTGGGCTGGCACATCCTGTGATAGACTGATCTATGTCTGTGATGGATATATGTTTTATCAATTTGATTGTCATGGTCTTAATGTGAGAGGTGGCAACAGCAACCACTGGAAAACAGCACAGATTCAACTGTCCCAGGATCTGACCCTCTACAGCCAGTTAATATCTAGTTGCCTGTTTATTACCAATGGAATCAAACCTATCTAATTAAGTGGCCAAAGAATTTGGCTACTTAACTATAAATTACCCTGTGACTGGTTTCAAGGGTTCTTTTACCCCTCACAGGACAGAATGGGGCAAGGTTTTGCCTTACTTTAAATATATATTTTCTTCATAATTTCTAGTGAACTGAAATTTTAACAAATATGTCTTACCTTAATTATTCCATGTTTTACTCATAATGGTTCTAACCGTCTCTGTTTTTTCTTCTCTCATCTTCTCTCTTACTTTACTAACTCTAATGCTTTACAGTGGTACCTCGAGTTTCAAACAGCTCCCAACTCGAACAATTATGTAAGTGTATTTTTGTAAGTGCTTTCATAAGTGTATTTTTGGGGGTCTGAAACGGACTAATCTAATTTATATTATTCCTTATGGGAACAAATTCGTTTGGTAACGGCACTTGAACAGCCTTCTGGAATGAATTAAATTTGTAACTAGAGGTACCACTGTCTTTTAGAGAAGACTAGAAAAATCTTGAGGTTTCAAGAAGGCACTACATGAATGAAAATTCTGTAAGCCTAAGGTAGTAAATGTACCATTACTACGATTATTTCCAAATAAATTATTTTAGGGACTGATGGCAAAAAATTTGTAATAAGTAATAGTAATAATGAGCAGCTTTCATGCTTTCAATAGTAAGCAAAGATCCAGTTGGTCTAAAATGACCAAGAAAAAAGTAAATATGTACTCTGCTAAATGCTCAGTCCTCTTCTACTTAAAACCTCCATCACTTGCCTGCTCTTATGTGGTCTTAGGAACGGAACTCCACTGTCAAGTGAGGAGAGGCTGTATATATATATTCGTCTAAAAATAGACTGCTGAGATTAAAGAAAATAATTTATTGTAAAGTGCAGTTACTGTAGTTTGAAGGAACAGGAATAGCAACTTACTTCAAATGTACACTATGTTGACTGTGTAATGCCTCGCCCAACACTGCTCCTGTGTCATCAACAACAGCTGCACCTGTATCATCACAGCTCGTCTCTATTCCTAACACCACCTATTTGGAAAATATTTCATAGTTATATCTTTTTAACAACAAGCATGTCATCTCAACAGCCTGTACAGTATGTTCAAATTACTTGTACTGCAGTTGCTAATACAAGCAGGCCCTGCCTGTTATCAGTAGGCCATCTTTGCCAGGGATCAAACCATGGTCAGTGTGTGTGAAATGAGTGTTGCCTACCAGGCCATGGCCACATTAAATTAAACAGAGAGGAGTAGCTTTGAGTAAGTCACTTACATAAATTAAAAACACTACAGGGACAAGTATAGATCCTTGTGGCACCTCACTGATAACATTTCTCCAATAGGACACTTTTCCTCTTATGATTACCAAAGATTATCCTAAAATTCCACAAAAAAGATTAAGATTCTAATAGTACAGTGGACCCCCGCTTAACGATCACCTCCCAATGCGACCAATTATGTAAGTGTATTTATGTAAGTGCGTTTGTACGTGTATGTTTGGGGGTCTGAAATGGACTAATCTACTTCATAATATTCCTTATGGAAACAAATTCGGTCAGTACTGGCACCTGAACATACTTCTGGAATGAAAAAATATCGTTAATCGGGGGTCCACTGTATTGTTATTCTTGTATATATACATTGACTACATGTACCTGCACATCCAGGTACTGTACAAGGCTCTTACCAGAGACTTATACAGTACCTGGGTGTTACAGTACACACAATTTAATTTTCAATGACTTATATTTGTATCATATTACATGTAGTCACGGTGGTCCGTGGCCTGGTGGCAAAAGCTCTCACTTCACACAGTGAGGGTCCGGGTTCGACTCCCGGAGAGAGCTGAAACACTGGGCATGTTTCCTTACACCGGTTGTTTATGTTCCCCATCAGTAAAATGGTTACCTGGGAGTTAGTGGACTGGTGTGGGTCGCATCCTGGGACAACACTGACCTAATTTGCCCAAAATGCTGGCATAACAAGCAACTTTCTATACAGTAGTATGTCATTGATGTCAGCTAGACCTGTATACCTTGTACATGTACTTGTATTATTATTATAATAAAAAAAGAAGCGCTAAGCCACAAGGGCTATACAGCACATGTACTTGTAGAAATATATTATTATTATGTATACAAGAGTGACAATCTTAGAATTTACCAGAGCCTTATACTTACTGTCTAACTTTTGGGTTTTCCTAGATAATTTACACATATGTGAAACTATGTATGATAATTGTACTTAAGTGTACCTTTACATATATAAACTTAAGATTTTTTATCCAAATAAAATTTTACTTACTTGTCTATAAAACTCAGAGCTGGTGTGAAAATGATTGATTTGCATTACTTCTGATACTGATCGCTGTAAATATGATAAACAGTGAAATTCCGGCTTTAATATACCCCTGGTGTTTTTGAGTAAACGACAATAACGTAATAAAGCGTAAATCTGGCCATGTTTGAAAGCTGCCATGATTGTTGTTGGGGTTGTTAAGAGTCACCAAAGTTGACGCCTTGTTCACCCATGACTGTGTCACTAATTCAGGTACACAGAAATAGTTACATAAATTATTATACTTAGAATATGTGTAGATTACCTAGGATAACCCAGAAAAAGTCAGACAAAGTGACTTATTTCCATTGGGGTCCTTGAATGAGTCAGTTAGTTTATTTAGGTACTGGTACACATAAGTACAATTATGTTACATAGTTTAACATATCTTATTATTTAAAGCCTAGCTGTAAGATACAGTAGAAATCAATTATGATTATATCATTAAAAACTAAAAGTATCTAAGTAATTCAACTGAGTGAAAATCAGCTACAGTAACAGGAGGCACAAGAGGAATAAAGTCATCCTGTTTTTTTTAAGGGGGGGGGGGCTAGTACTCACAGGATGGTCACATAGGGTGCACATAAACTAACCACTCATGGGCACAACTAAAAAAAAAAAACAGAGCAGTCATCGGGAGAAGAAACCTCTAAGGAAACCACATTTATCATGAAGGAGGAGGATGATTCAGTAACATATACATTATCGAGATGATTTACCCTTACATGAAATTTACACTCGTTATACCTACGTTGGACTTTATTTTCTCTCATAACAACCATTTGAAACTGCTGGCAAGACTAAGTTTTAAAGTAGAAAGCTTGATAAATTTGCTTCATACTGTGGCCTGATGGTCTAGTGGTATGATTCTCGCTTAGGGTGCGAGAGGTCCCGGGTTCAACTCCCGGTCAGGCCCGAAGTTATTTTACCACAATAAGAAGAGAAGGAACTGCTAAAACTACTACATATAGGAAGAGCGCGAAACCTGTCAAGGCCATATAATATCTGGAACTCGTATGATTGGCCAGTACATGTCCCGGACCGGGTCTTTTCCGGATGGTGACCCGGCAAGTGTCTGGAGACATACAAGGCCTTCAGGTTAGATTCATGGGAGTAGAGCATAGGTCTATTTTTTTTTAGATCAAGAGCCTTTTGCCGACATCAAGGAACCTCCCTAGAGGAGAGAAGAGAGAAGTTGAGTAACTTAGCAATTTTTAACTGTTAAGATTTAAAGAATAAGATATTACAAGGATCCCAATGGAAATAAGTCTGACTTTTTTGGGTTATCCTAGTTAATGTACACATATGCTGCTATGTATGACGAATTATGTAACTGTATTTATGTGTACCTGTACCTGAATAAACTTACTTATGTACCAAGATATTTCCAGCTACGACCTAAATGTGTTGACTCAAGGAAACCTGAACTTGGCTTCTTAAAAGTGGGGACAGTAATGGTACGCAACTTAGAGATCCATATACATGATGCTGTAAATAATTCATTACCACTGTAATTTGCTTAGGGTAACATTTTTATTGTAATTAGGAGAAGTTAGAGTAACTTTCTTAAACAAGAGAGCACTGACACAGTCACTTAGACCAGTGAGCTGCTAACATATTGGAATAAGAGCCCTTCAGGAGCATCAAAGTAGCTCTCATGTTGGAGTGTGAGCAAAGTAACATTTATGAAGGGATTCAGGGAAACCGGCAGGCCGGACTTGAGTTCTGGAGATGGGAAGTACAGTGCCTGCACTCTGAAGGAGGGGTGTTAATGTTGCAGTTTAAAAACTGTAGTGTAAAGCACCCTTCTGGCAAGACAGTGATGGAGTGAATGATGGTGAAAGTTTTTCTTTTTCGGGCCACCCTGCCTTGGTGGGAATCGGCCGGTGTGATAATAAAAAAAAAAAAAAAAGAAAAAGAGAAAGAGAAAGAGGAGAAAGAGAAAGAGAAAAAGAGAAGAAAGAGAGAGAGAGAGAGAGAGAGAGAGAGAGGAGTGAGAGAGAGGAGGAGGAGAGAGAGAGGAGAGAGAGAGGATGAGAGAGAGAGAGAGAGATACACACACACACACACACACACACACACACACATGTCAATGGAAGGAAATAAAATGCCTCAGAGGAAGCAGATGGAGACTCAGTGGGAGGAGGAAAGGGCGAGGTCAGTTTTGTGTACGGGCTCCAAGAAGCCAAGGGGGACAACTTTGAAGAAATAAAACAGGAGGAGAAAAAAATGATTGAAGGCATCATGAAAAACATATAGGGGAGGGCGATATGACCCAGGTGACAAATTTTCAGAGAATTGGGTGGTTTGCGAGTGGAAGGATACGGCCTGTCAGAGTAACTTTCAAGGAAGAATCAGTTCGAACCAGGATTCTGCAAGAGAAAGCAAGACTGAGGGACAAAGAGGGGTACCAGAGAGTATACCTCGACCGCGACAGAACACAAGAAGAAAGGACTACACTGAAAGAGAGGGTACAGAGACGCAAGGAGGAACGAGAAGCAATGACGAAAATGAGCAGGACCCAGACACAGGAGGAAGGGCAAACACCACAGAATCTCCCACCAAAAGACTCCAACCGCGACATTCCCAACGCAACTGAGCAACCTATTACTACAACCCCTCACTGTTCCCTCTGCCACCAACCCCATATCACAAAACCTCACCCCAACAGCTGTCCCTTATGGGCATTCTGACCCCACCCCCATCAACACAAAACCCCACCTACACCACAGCCCCATATAGGCCCCACAAGGCTCTCGCTTCCCCAACCCCAATATTCTTGCATGACCACAATGATAGAAAAGAAACTGAGGTTTGGTACACAAAACGCAGATGGAATAACGAATAAACATGAGGAGTGGAACGAAAGAATCAGTGAAAAATCCCCAGACATCATAGCAGTCACAGAAACAAAACTCACCGAGACAATAACAGACACAATCTTCCCAACAGGATATCAGATCCTGAGGAAAGATAGAAGGAGTAGAGGGGGAGGAGGGGTTGCACTGCTCATATAACACCGATGGGGATTTGAGGAAATGGAAGGCATGGACATGATTGGAGAAAGAGACTACATTGTAGGTACAATTCAGTCCGGAGAACATAAAGTAGTCATTGGAGTGATGTATAACCCACCACAGAACTGCAGGAGGCCAAGAGAGGAGTACGAAGAAAACAACAGGGTGATGGTGGACACACTGGCTGAGGTGGCAAAAGAGCTCACTCGAGCAGAGCAAAGTTACTGGTAATGGGCGATTTCAACCACAGGGAGATCGACTGGGAAAACCTGGAGCCACATGGGGGTCCCGAAACATGGAGAGCCAAGATGATGGATGTGGTACTTGAAAACCTCATGCATCAACATGTCAGGGACACAACCAGAGAGAGAGGGGAGGATGAACCAGCAAGACTGGATCTTGTGTTCACCCTGAGCAGTTCAGACATTGAGGACATCACTTACGAGAGGCCCTTGGAGCTAGCGATCACGTGGTTCTGAGTTTTGACTCTATAGTAGAGTTACAAGTGGAGAAGGTAACAGGAACTGAAGGGGACAGGCCAAAACTATAAAAGGGGGGACTACACAGGTATGAGAAACTTCCTGCAGGAGGTTCAGTGGGACAGAGAAATGGTAGGAAAATCAGTAAACGAGATGATGGAATATGTGGCAACAAAGTGCAAGGAGGCAGAGGAAAG